AAACGTTCTAGAGAAGCCGCTCATTGCTGCAAGTCACCCAGCAATAACTATAGACATTACTTTTTTGCATATAGGACTAGCCCTGCACCTCTAAAACTGACACCATCGTAATAACACACACCAAAATGAGTATTTTAATTTAGATTTTAAGCAATTACATTAATACTATTTGGCTCTGCCTTTTTTTTCCCTTTTCCTTTTCTTTTTAAAGGTAGCTACAGCAGAGTGACGAAAATACTTCAGGTATTTTTGCTGCAAATCAGATGACAGATCAACAGATTAGACTGAATATTTGTACTACCAGATAACAGCAGGAAAGGAATATAGACGATTCAAAAGGTTTCAGGTTGGAGCAAAGAGATGTCCCTATTTGTTATCAAAGTACATTCTAAAATCTTGGTACCAAAAAGTAAAACCACATATAGAAATAGCAGAACATTTCATCGACCTCTAAGACATGCTATGACTTAAACCTATTTTCTCCACATTTTTATATTTAAATTACCCTTTTTCTTCTCAGACTTGTCTAACTCTCTCCCTAGTACTCCCTAGCTCCCTAGTATCCCCTGAATACCCCAAACTTTAGCTATCAGTTAGGAATATGATTTGTTTTTGAGAGTCAAGAGATTCGTGTATTTTACTAGATGTCAGAGCTGCCTGCTTTAATTTGAGCTTTGTACAATCTTGGATCTCCCATTTTCTAATAAGATTGCATTGATTAAATTAGACATAGGGCTTTTCTCTTCCACCTCCAGAATGAAAAAGAATCAATTTTAATATGTAGAAAATAAGCATTTCTCTATGGTTGTCAGGCTTGATTCCTACTTAGTTCAAACAATGTTAGGTATAAAAAGTCACTAACATGTCAAAAAATTACTCTTTCCCGCCTTCCCTAAATTATGCTGGGTATGCTCAGACTAAAGCCTCAGGAACATAGTGAGTGTGGCAAGGGAAAACAATAAACAAACAAATGGGCTCTTAATGCTAAGAGGAATCCAGATCCTGGCTTTCCCTTTTCCAATCACTAGATGGGTAAATCTGAACATCAGTTACCTTATCTGGATTTCAGATTGTTCACCTTGACATGAACCAACTAGATTCGAAAATCTTTAAAGCAACTTTTAATACTAAGTATCTCTATTCTCTGTAAAGAAAATTACAAGTTTTAATGTTTATGAAATCACTTGGCAGCGCAGTCCCATGGACATACTTCACCCAAAAGACATGCGATTTGGATAGTTAAGTGTACACATTAACTCACCATGACATACGCATTTTTGGATAGGAAGGTGGGAATAAGAAGATACAATATCCACAGTTTCATCAGATCCTTAAACAGATTTGACTTTGTAAAACATTTATAAAAGTAGATGTTAAATGTTTTTTAAAAAATCTCCAACAAGGCTAGGCATGGTAGCTCACACCTCTAATCCCAGCACTTTGGGAGGCCAAGGCAGGTGGATCACAAGGTCAAGAGATGGAGATCATCCTGGCCAACATGGTGAAACCCCATTTCTACTAAAAATACAAAAATTAGCTGGGCATAGTGGCATGTGCCTGTAGTCCCAGCTACTCAGGAGGCTGAGGCAGAAGAATCACTTGAACCAGGGAGGTGGAGGTTGTAGTCAGCAGAGATTGCGCCACTGCATTCCAGCCTGGGTGAGGGAGCGAGACTCTGGCCAAAAAAAAAAAAAAAAATCCCCAACGAATTTGCAGTTACTATTATAGTGTTTAACAGCTCAGGGAAGACAACTAATTTTGGTAAGACAGACAAACTGAATTACTATACCTAACTTAACATCGCTTGGTGATTACGTAAGAAAATGCAAGAGGAAAGTGATAAGAATTATGCAGAGAAGCAGAGATAAAACTAATTTGGCTTTAAAATGCATTACTTTCATGTCAGATTTATTCTTCAAATTATGTGCTGCTTAGATAAGCATTATTTTTCTTTTCTTAAACACTTACAAAAGGATAACAGAAGATAGCCTAGAAAGGCACAACAGAAGGTAAATTTATTTAAAGACCTAAAAAAACACAAGCCAAGTCATGTCTATACTGGCATAGTAAAGCACAGCAGAACAAGGACAACTTGGGTCTTCTGAACGAAAGAACAAAAAATATAGTTAATATGGAGTTTCTAGAGCCGGACTGCCTTGATCCCAGCTAAGATTACAAACTATAACTGCTCACTAATTATATAGCCTGAAGCAAGATACTAAATTATTCTGGCCTCAGTTTCTTTACCTGTAAAATGTGCCAACAACAGTACTTACGGAAGTTTTGAGGCTTAAATGAGATATGGGAATTATAAACAATGCCTGGCATACATAAAGTAAAATTTCAGAAAAAAAGGTCAGCTACAATTATTTCTCCTCTCTAAGGTTCTAAACCAAATTAGGATCCATGACTTTAAAGCAACTTTTAATACTAAATATAACAATAAATAAGATCTATAGAAAAGTCAAACTCCTTTTATCCAGTAGCTTCAACTGTTCCTCCAAACTGGGCTGTAGTTTAAAAAGAACAGCTAGTTAGAAATAAATTTAGTTTATATATGGCTTTCCATCTTTAACTCCACAAACTCATTAGTAGAGGTAACAAGTGAGAAGAGGTAAAGGTGCTGGGCGGCACTGGCTAGCAGAACCTTCTGTGATGACAGAATTATTCTGTATATACACTCTCCAGTATGGCAGCCACTAGCAGCTACTAAGCACCTGAAATGTGGTCAGTGCTGAGAAAATGAATTTTTATTTAATTTTAATTTAAACTTAAATAGCTATAGGTAGCCGAATGCAGTGACTCACACCTGCAATCCCAACACTTTGGGAGGCCGAGGCTGGAGAATAGCTTGAGCCCAGGAGTTTGAGACCAGCTTGGACAATATGATGAAACCCTGTCTCTACAAGAAATACAAAAACAAATTAGTCAGGCAGGCATTGTAGCAGTGCCCGCAGTCCCAGCAACTTGGGAGGCTGAAGTGGGAGGGCTGCCAGGGCCTGGCTGGTCAAGCCGTGATCATGCCACTGCACTCCAGCCTGGGTGACAGAGCAAGACCCTGTCTCAAAAAAATAGAAAAAAAATGAAATTTCCAAAAAGCTACATGTGAGACCTTATTGGATTGGAAAGCAGGGCCCTAGATAATCCATAAGCTAAATAAGAATTGTCAGAAATTTAAGCAAAATAAGGATCTTCTTTTCCTGAATTGTTTTATAGGTTCAATTCAAATATCTTTGTTTCCGGTGTAGGCCTGGTAAGTTTGACTAGTAAAGAAATAACATGTCAGTTGATACACCAATACACTGCAAATTCAGTGGTAATAAAAGGGTCAGAGTTAAGTACGTGGTCCTCTGATATTTTAGAAGGTCCCTAAGGCCAAGTTAAATTCAAGCTCACATGAAGCATGGTTCAGTACACAGCAGTACACAGATCAGAGCTGCAAAGGTCCTTCTCAGCATCTCTAAAGCAGCTGCTTCTGCTCTACCAAATGCAAAGCTACCTAGACAATGCAGACTGAGTATCTCTGCATTTATCTCACATTTTTCTTTAAAAATTCATAGTTCTATAAGCCTGTTCCCTCTTTCAGGAACACTGGTGTTCCTGGCCATCCAGCCTTTCCACTATAAACAAAACCCATGTACCACCCGTATCTGGAGTATAACGCCAGACTCCTGCTTAGCTACCCCTGTAATATGGTTTAATTATGATGACTGAACTAATAGGCTGACATCATAGACTTTTACAGGCTGACCCCATGTCATCCTGATGTATCATTTTGCACCAGTTCAGTGCTGTAAATCAATTTAAGATCTCATGCAGGTTGAAAAGCCTGGTAATGATGCTTTCTCTGCCGTCTCTGGAGACTCTACATTATACACAACTTACATTATTTATAAAGCCTCAGTGATGCTTCCATTAGCCTTGTAAGACTACACAAATAAGATCTGTTATACACACACACTTGGCCTTGATTATGGAGGCTACTGCAGCTTAAACATGCTTGTCTAATTACATCCAAGTTACTTCTTTTTTCCAATCTACTAAGTTATTAGATTTTATCTTTAACTCAGAATTGCTAGAAATCGAAATTACAAAGTGAAATTTAGTTTTTAACTAATAAATGTAATAAATGTAGTTGAGAAAATGTGACTTCCTCTTAATGCCTTACTCAACTTAATAGAAATGAAATTAAATTCCAAGAAGCGTTAGAGATCAATGTTTTCTTAATTACCTAAAAACTGTCATTTCTCTAAAACACAAAGATCACCAGCTCTTCAAGGATATGAAACCAAAGGATACAGCAAGAGGAAAAATGTATTTGGTTACATACCTATGGTTGTAGGGGTCAAAACTAAATCAAGGACAAATCCCTACCCTCAGAAGAAACCCGATCCTTCCTGGATCCTCTAGAGGCTCTGGCATCACCCACCTCCAGAAAAATCATCTCTCACGACCCTAGTTAAACTTTCCTATGAATTACAGTATTACACCACCAATGATACACCACCTGCACAGAAATATCAAATAACTGAAAATGGGAGAGTGGGAGAGGGCAGAACAAACACTTTAATCTGTACAGCATATTTAGATCTGGCACGTACATCAGAGTAAGACTGATGCAACAGTATTTTTACCAATTGAAAATGCTGGGGCAGTAAACACTGGTTCTGCCCCGATTTTTTTTTAATGCAGCTCACCTACCTTCAATACAATTTAAAGTAATTACAAACAAGATGAAAAATCAACATAGGCAGGGAACAGTTTTCTCATTGTGTTACTGAGATGTGGGCAAGTTATCCGCAACAGGCAATTAGAGCCAAAGATGTTCTGAAATACAGGCATTTTGAGATTTAGCCGCTGAGAGTTCCAGCAACATGAAGACATAACAGAAATCATGCAACTTCTGTATCATTCCACGTACTTTGAAACTTCAGATGCAGTGGAAAGGAGAGAAAGGGAGGGGAGGACATAGAAAAAGGACAGTTTGTCTCGGCACTCACGAAAATGATGCTTTCTCAGGAGATGGTTCGGAGATCGGTCTCAATTTTCAGAAACACATCTTTACTGGTTGTCTTGCACCGTGTATTTAAAAATTGCATTCGCTTCAAAATAAACAAAAGTGCAGCTACTGTAGTTGTGAGATCTGGCAGGCATTTGTTCCTCCTCCCCTCCTAACGCACATCAAGGAAACGTTCTCCCTTTAAAGCCTTCATACAGATTCAGCAACTAGAAAAACGAGCCCATGTCTGTCTCTCACGCCCACCACCCCCACCTTCCTATAGAAACAACCCCGAGAAACACTAACAAAGACAGGGAGCAGAGTAAAGGAACAGTTGTTCAACCGCGAACTCACGAATACACATGCAGTGAGGCAATCGACTGCGGTAAAGGGAAAGGAATGAGACACCAGGAGACGCAGCGGGTGTAGGCGGAAGAGGGGGGAAAAATTACGCGCCGCCGCCGAACCTTTGAATAAATTAGAGGGGATTTCGGTGCGAACTTTCCTTGACCTCGACCCCAAAGAGGCTCGCTGGGGCCGAGAAAGAAACCCGTGCGGGACGTGGAGGGGCTGGGGGCGCCCGGGTCCCCCGCCCGCTAGACCCGTTCCTCCAGGCGCCGTGGAAGGCAGCGCCGGCGGCCGTTCTCCAGCTCCCGCAGGGGTCGCCCCGCCGGCGCGGGGACACAATGGGCCCGCGGGCCGCGCGGACGGGCCTCGGCCCGGCTGCAGCACCGGAGAGACGTGAGGAGCGCGCGGAGAGGGAGAGCGGCTGCGGAGGTCCCGGCGCGCTCAGGCCCGGGGGCGAGGCTAGGGGGGCCGGGGACTCGGCTTCCCACAGCAGAAGACCCAACAAAGACACCGGGGGAGCCCGGCGGGCTGGGCGCGAGGAGAGGACGCGATGGCAGGTTCGCTCCTCAGAGCGGCCGGGAGGCGCCATCATGGGGGGTGGGGGGGTCGCGGTCCGCTCCGCGCGGAAAGAGCCCCCTCCCCGCCGCCGCCCGCGCCCCCGGCCTCGCAGGACCGCGGGGGCCCCACGCGTGCAGAGACTGCGGCGCTGGAAAGCCCGGGGAGCCGAGGGGAGGGCGGGGACGCAGCATGAAGGGAAACTTGGGTTCGGGTCTGTTTCGTTTTACCGGGTTGGCGGCGCGCCCATCCGCGCGGACGCACGAGTGGCCGGGAGAGCGGGGTCCCGCGGCCCCGGTCCGGCCGGCCGGGCGCTGCGCCGCGCTCCGCTCCCAGGGTCCCTCCCCGCGTCTCGGCCCGGGTTGAGCCGCTCGGCCTCTCCTTCCTCCGCCCGCCCGTCAGCCCGCTCTCTCCCGGAGCCTGGATTGATCTGGTGGTGCTGGCGTCAGGGAGTCGGAGCCGCCCAGCCTCCACTCCTCGGCTGCCAATGCCCGGCGCACTCGCCTGCCCGCCCGCCCGCTCACACGCTCACCCGCGCGCCGCCGCCTCTGCCGCGCGACCAGGGATCCTCTCCAAATTCCCGGCCCGGCCGGCGTGAGAGCAGCGCGGCCGCGGCTGGAGGACTGCGCGGGGGAGCGGCCCGAGTCACCCGCTTCCACCCCCAGCCCCACGCCCCGTTTATTCCTGGAGAAAAAACGGTGTGGCGGCGTTGTGGCTTTCCTAACCCTGCCTTCTTTAGTCCCTGTGGAGTGGACTTGGTGCATTATCTGCGAGTGAATTTCGATGCTCCATGTGTTTATTTTCTGAATCGCTCATTAACTCTTCTGTAAACATGAAATGCATGTTGACAGTTATCTTTCGAGACTGGCCCTTTGATGTCTAGTTTTCATTGTCCCTTACTCTCTGATAATTTGCAGGGCCCAGAAGTTGAACGTACCCAGAAGCAGTTAGCTAATAACTACTGCACGTGCTTATACAAACCCTGGGTCAACAGATGGGTTTTGTGTCAACTCAGGATCCAATGATTCGAGTAGGTAACCTTGTTGCTCCAAATAGTAACATGCCACAAGGAGATACTGCTTTAGAACTCTACATTTTTGTTCCAATTTCTACAGTCTTTTAGATGATGCCAACACCCCGAAAACAAACTTAACTCTTACCTACCTGATCTGCATGGACATTGAAAATATCTTCTTGCAAGAGTCAACTTTTCTCTTGGCCAACTCTCTGGAAGCTGCATAAAATCTTGGATAATTACCATAATGTTGAGTTACGTTTAGAAAAGAATAATTTTTTGAGGAATGAATTTCACATGAAGCAAAAAACGTCACTCCCAGCCATGTGTATCAGTGTATCATTAATATATATCAATGTATATTAAATTCCTTTTTTCCTTAAACTATTTGAGCCCTTACTGGTCAATGCGTGGACCTCATCTTATTTTCCCTAAAAGCAGCATTTGATGCAGTTGGTCATTCTCTGCTCCTTGGAACAACAGGAAAGTGAACCTTGTGAAATGCCACTCAGATTAGGCCACTCCCCTGTTGAAAACTCTCCCTTGATAAACAGTATAAAATACCCCATACAAGAGAACATTATTCAGCCATAAAAAGGAATGAAGTGCTGATACTGATGCGTGTGACCTGGATAACCTTTCAAAACATGGAGTGAAAGAAGATAACACAGTAAGACCACACATTGTATTCTTCTACATATCTGAAATGCTCAGAGTAGGCAAGGCTATGGAGACAGATAGTGGTAGATTGTTGGTTTGCATAGGGTTGGGGAAATGAGGAACCTGGGGAGTGACAGCTAAAGGTCGTGGGGTGACAAAATTGTTCTAAAATTAGTTTCTGGTGATGGTTGCACAGTTCTGTGGATATACCAAAAGCCATTGAATTGTACACTTTAAATGGGTCAATCATTTGATATGTGAATTTTCCTCAACCTATTAAAAAAAAAAAAGCATGACAATGAAATGCAGTATATGACCTTGATTGGATCCTGAATGGGGAGGGGGAGCTATAAACTGATATTTTAAAGCTGTTACTTTTTAAAAAACCTATAGATGGCATTTATTTATTTATTTATTTAATTTTGATACGGAGTTCTCTCCGTCACCCAGCCTGGAGTGCAATGGCGTGCTCTCCACCTCCCGGGTTCAAGCAATTCTCCTGCCTTAGCTTCCCAAGTAGTTGGGATTACAGACACCCAGCACCACACTCGTCTAATTTTTGTATTTTTAGTAGAGACAGGGTTTCACCATTTTGGCCAGGCTGCTCTTGAACTCCTGGCCTCAAGTGATCCACCCTCCTTGGCCTCCCGAAGTGCTGAGATTACAAGCATGACCCACCGCACTCAGCCTAGATGACCTTCCTTAGTGTAATCCTAGAGATCTTAAATGATAATTATTAATATTATTATGTATGCTATAAAATTTGATTTTGCCCATTGTGCAAGTTATTTCTTTAAATGGTAATAAAAATTTGGATATTCTTTTTAAAAGGATGTTGATGAGCCCATTGTAAAAACATAAATGTGGACTATATATTAATGGTATTGTATTAAATTTTTTTGGAAATCCTCCCTTATGCCCCCATTTAACTCAAATTAAGTTTCCATAATGAGCCCAAGACCCTACATAATCTTTTTTTCTTCTTTCTTTTTCTTTTTTTTTTTTTTTTTTTTTTTTGGTGCCGTGACTCAGATACATAATCTTTCTTTCCCCTTCCTTTACCACTCTGATCTGCTCTTCTACTCTCCCTCTTGCTCACTTTCCCAAGCCACACTAGTGTCCTCACTTTTCTGGAACAATCTGGGCACATTCTCACCTCAGTGTCTGTGTGCTAGCTGTTCCTTCCCTTTCTAAGTTCATTTTGTGTTGCTGGAATAGAATACCACTGATATAGTTTGGCTATGTGTCCCCACCCAAATCTCATCTTGAATTGTAGCTCCCATAACCCCCATGTGTCATGGAAGTGAACTGGTGAGAGGTAATTGAATCATGAGGGCGGGTTTTTCGCATGCTGTTTTCGTGATAGTGAGTAAGTCTCACGAGAATCTGATGGTTTTATAAAGGGCAGTTTCCCTGCACATGTCCTCTTGTGTGCCACCATTTAAGACATCTTTGCTCCTTCACCCCTCCTTCACCTTCTGCCATAATTGTGAGGCTTCCCCAGCCATGTGAAACTGTGAATCCATTAAATGTTATTTTTGTTTGTTTGTTGTTGTTGTTGTTGTTGTTTGAGACAGTTGCACTCTGTCACCAGACTGGGATGCAACCTCAGCTCGCTGCAACCTCCACCTCCAGGGTTCAAGCGATTCTCCTGCCTTGGCCTCCCGAGTAGCTAGGACTACAGGCACATTCACCTCAGCCAACTAATTTATTTTTTATTTTTCAGTAGAGACGGGGTTTTGCCATGTTAGCCAGGCTGGTCTTGAACTCCTGACCTCAGGTGATCCACCCACCTAGGCCTCCCAAAATGCTGGGATTACAGGCATGAGCCACTACACCCAGCCTAGTGGCTATGAATTTAAAGTAAGACCAGTCAGCGTGGTTGTGGGTCTTCTCCAGCCTACATCAACCTAAGGGGGCAGAGCTGAGTTTAACTAGGGCTGGGGTTTTGTAGGTGTATGTCATGGAAGGAAATGGGATCAGACAGCAGAAGGTATAGGCAATGGAGTAACTTTGGGGGTCTTGATAGGAGGGAGGTGATAACATATAATAATGTGAGATGTTGGAAAGATGATAGGATCCACTGATTGAAGGTACTAGTGAGGTCCATGAATTACTGGAGTTAGGAACCTTTTCCAAAAGCTGGGGAGCAGTCTGGGAAATTGAGCAGATTCTTGAAATTGAAATCATGATGCTGGAGCAGTTTTGAGCAATGCCAAGATCTAGGAGTGTGACCAGAGATAGTGGATGGCTAAGGTAGAGAGGAAGACAAGATCCTCAAAGAAAAAAAGATTTTAAGGAACTGAAGAGAAATTAATTATGCTATGTAATCTGTTTATCAGGAAAAAATCAGCTACTAATCACAGTAAGATGAGCCCTTTAAATTGGCTGCAAATTTTATATATGCAAAATGTAAATCCAAAAACCTGTTTTAAGAGATGATTCTATTCAATAGAAAAATAAATGTAATGATTTATACTTCAGATCCCTCAGGGAATTTATGTGACTCACTTTCCTGGAATTAGCCTGCCAAGGATCATTGGTGTGTTATTTTTCATATTAAAAGGAATGCTGGCCAGTCATGGTGGCTCATGCCTGTAATTCCAGCACTTTGGGAGGCCAAGGTAGGCAGATCACTTAAGATCAGGAGTTTGAGACCAGCCTGGGCAACATGGTGAAACCCCACCTCTCCAAAAAAATACAAAAAAGTAGCCTGGTGTGGTGGTACATGCCTGTAGTCCCAGTGACTTGGGAGGCTGAGGTGGGAGGATGGACTGAGCCTGGGAGGTCCAGTCTGCAGTGAGCTGTGAGGGTGCCACTGCAGTCCAGCCTGGGCAAAAGAGCAGGACTCTGTTGAAATCCTTTATTCTCTCCTTACATCCTTTACTCCAAAGAACTTATAGCTGTCTGTAATTATGTATGTATTTCATTGTTTTGTTGAACATCCAGTGAGAAAATCTCACTGCTCTTCTAAGTAATATGTGGGTGGGAGCTGTATCTAGTTTGTGTTCCCACCTCCAAGCCCAAAGTTTGCACACACCTGTCATGGCAGACTCTCAAATATTTGCTGATAGAATAAATCTCTAATACAACTGTTGTGGTAAAATACAAATTGGTATTTTTTCTTAATTACAGCATACTTCATAGTAATCGTTCTCATTATTGTCCTCATATCTGACATTCAGATCTAATTATAAATAGTAGGAATTAAAAAAGAGTTGTTAGCTCTTTTTCTGAGAGTTTTCTAACAGTCTATACCAGGCATCCCCAAACTTTTTACACAGGGGGCCAGTTCACTGTCCGTCAGACCACTGGAGGGCCGCCACATACTGTGCTCCTCTCACTGACCACCAATGAAAGAGGTGCCCCTTCCTGAATTGTGGCGCGGGGGGGCAGATAAATGGCCTCAGGGGGCCGCATGCGGCCCGCGGGCCGTAGTTTGGGGACACCTGGTCTATACATTACAAAGTTCCATGTGAAAATTCTATGGTAAACATTACGTTGACAGTAGAACTTTATATTTCAAGTTTCTGAAATTTGTGGGGTGATATGGTTTGGCTCTCTGTCCCCACCCAAATCTCATGTTGAATTGTAATCCCCACATGTCAGGGGAGGGACCTGGTGGGAGGTGATGGGATCACGGGGGCAGATTTCCTTCACGCTGTTCTTGATAATGAGTGAGCTCCCCTAAGATGTGATAGTTTAAAAGCGTAGCACTTCTCCCTTTGCTCTCTCTCTCCTGCTCCATGATAATAAGATGTCCTTGCTTCCCCTTCAACTTCCACTATTATTGTAAGTTTTCTGAGGCCTCCTAGCCTTGCTTC